GAACTATTTTTAAAAACGAGTGACTAAGAGATGTCCCCTACTCACTTCTGCCTCTCTCCTAGGCAATGGGAGAGCTGGAGGAGCCTGCCGCGAACCTCAGAAGGTAACGAGCCTCTGCAAGCTCCATCCTTTGAGATGACTTCTGAGAGGAGGGTGAGATGGCAAAAATGGAGTGTCTGCCACACGCCCAGGAAGCCAAGCCCAGGGGAACCTCCTCACCCCGGGCTGGCCCCAAGTCCTCATTTTCTCTCTGATGCCCAATTGCAAGGACTGGCTTCTTTTCCTCTCTTTTCACTCTGACCACCAGGCAGTCCACTTCCTTAAGAAAGCAGGGCCACACTCCCTGGGGTGCTTTCCCCTCTGCCACCAAAGACAAACGGGACTTTTTCATTGTAATGAGCTTCTTTATCACTCACCATGGGACCACCACGGGACCACCACGGGACAATGCGGTTTACCAAAATTAATACATATGCTCAATTTTTTGTTCTTGATTTGCAAGCAATTTCTGTATATTTTGGCTGTGAACCAACCACTCTTAACAGGCAGCACAATTAATGTTTTTCCTACAATTAGTGTTTTTTCTCCATTTGGCTTTTTTTGTGTGTGGCTGAATTAAGTTTCTTTTTGTTGTTAGTAAAGGAAACCAACTCTGGAAAGCTTAATTAATGACAAAAACAACAAGAGCAAAGGGACTTATTAGATGTACATTACCTCATGAGATCTGCTTTGGATTAGTTTTGTCATGTTCCCTCCAAGAATTTCCAGTGGAATTCGGTCACATCATTTCTAAAAAGTATGAGACAAGCAGTGTCTTTACAGCCCTGGGTCTTCCCATTTAAGATCAAGGTATGACTCTTCCACTCTTTCCCTGAGAACAGGTTTTACACATTTCTTAAGTTTCCACCTCGATATTCCAGACTTTAGGTTACCATTTTAAACACAAGAATGGACAAAATATTGGAGTTTAAGAAGCTCACGACCCTTGAGGTGGGATGTTCTTCTAAGGAAATACCTGGACAAGGATTCACTTGTGTATAGTAGGGATAATCTTGGAAATACCCTAAACATCAAGAGTAGGAGATTTGTCAAATAAATTATGCTTTAGCCACAGAAATAGACACTCAAAAATCTAGAACTATGATCATTGCAGGTTAGCAGTGGGGGAGCCGTAATCGGAAGCCAGTGCGTCCGATACCACAATCTGCTCTTTATCCCAACTCACGCTGCCTTCCATATGAAAAAATGAAAAGCATTTCTCATACACTCCACGTGGCAAATAAGACAACAGATTTGGAGAAGCACCTTCTGCAGAGCAATTTATATCATCTGGGCAAGCGTTAACTTTCATTAACATTTACCGTGTACTGAATTCCAGACAACGTGCAAAGGTTTAAAACCACTCTCTCATTCAGTCCTCCATGTAGCTCTGGGAGATGGTAGCTGGGCATTTTATGAACCTTGCGGTGGGCTTGGGTTTGCCCCACCAGTGGGCCCCCTCCCTTGCCTTCCAAGCCTAGGTGGGGAGGGCACTACCACTACATTCAGTTTCCTACATCTTTAACAATAAATGCACTGCCTGTAATTTTGAAAGGCCTGTGGCAGAAACAGAACTGAGCTTATGCTGAATTTTTTTAATGCCTCAAAGACATACCATTCAGCTAAATGAACAACCTGTATATTTGTTACATATCTTTTAAAATCATAAATTAAGAATTCATTGAAACTGAACAGTCTTGGATAAAACACAATTTCTCAAAATGTTATTGATTTAAGTTATCCTAAGTGAGCTGGCAGTTAATAAGCTATGCTCTCCTTCCTAAGTCAATTTTGTACACATAATGTATCAATGTTTGCTTTACTAAAAATATCTATGCCTGATTTAAAAAAAAAAATTTAACTCATCTTCCAGAAATATTGAGGGTCTATTGTCTTTGTGGTAACAAGGGTATATATTTAAAAGACAGGGAAATGGTCAACTTGCATCTGGAGTCTGATGCAAGCCTAGTTGTTCTTGCAGCAGGATCTGTTCTATTATAATTTATCTTTAAAGGGAGAATCGTTCTAGTGCTATTTGGACCCAAATTTCTAAGAAAGGAAAGGAGGAAGTGGTAAACTCTGAAGATACAGCCTTAATTCCCTTGGTTAGGGACCTGGGCTGCAGGACACCAGAAAAAAGCGCAGGGTGCTCCCCGCGGGGAGGACCCGGACCCTGTCCACCCCGGGCCTGTCACAGGCCCCCTGACTGGGAGGACAGTGGGATTAGCAAACCCAACCCCGCCCTTGGGGGACACTTCAACTTGTAAATTCCTTGACTTCATCTCACAGAACTTTGGAAACCCTAAAATGTCAACCTTGAAGGGGGAAATTCCCAGTGGGAATTTTTGTAACTGTGGCCAGTTACAGAAAAAGGTAAAAAATAAACCATGATCAGGGGTATTTTTGGTTTCTAAAAGAAAGCCCCGAGTCAGAAGAAAGTCAGTGAACCCGAGTTCACTGCTAGCTCAGGACGCGCTCAGGTGTGGTCGCGTTGTCGCCAGAAATTGCGGCTCCCGGGTCCCGCGGACGCCAGCTTTTGAGCCGGCCCAGAGGCCGTTCTGCTGGAAGACCGACTGGTGACCACGACAGCGGGGCCAGCGCAGTGTAACACTGGGGCTCAAGAAGCCTCGAAGTTCACATCTCACCCTGGGCCTACACCGCCCACCCTGCGTATTTTTGACCCAGTTCCTCCCTGTGTCCCCCAGCTTGCCCAGCCGTGCTGGGGTCCTCAGGCTTTGTCCCTAGTGGCTAGTTTTGGTCACCTTTGGGACAAGAGGGGTTCCCAAGGACCGGAACCCGGTGGGCACGTGTCAAGGTTGGCGGAAACAAAGTAAGGAAAGGAGGCAAAGGAGACAGAGAGGAGATGGCCTCCGCATCGGGCCCCCGTGACCTGCGAAGCTTCTTGTCGAAGACTCAGCATCGCGCACCGAGGCTCGGGGCGAGCCCGCAGCGCCGCGCCACCACGCAGGCCTTTCCACCAGGGTTTGGTCCACGACGCATCCTCCATCCCAAAGTCAGGGGCTCCTGGTGGCAAATCCGCCCCCACCCCGCCCAACCCCCTGCACCGGCACAGAAGGGGAGAGCCAGGGCAGGGCCAAGGGGTCGTTGAGACTGGACCATGACCACCGCCGGCAGCCCGCGCTCTGCTTTCTTTGGCAGCCATCCATGGGGTCAGTGCCTCGTCGCGGCCTTCCCGGGTTAATCCGCCAAGACTCCCCAGATCCCGGCATGTGACATTGGCCAGGGGCGGGGGAGGGGCGCCCGTCACCGCTCTGGCCCGCGCCCTTCCTTCGCACCCAGATGTTCCTCCCTTAGTTTCCTGAACACTCCCCCCAGCCCAGGGTCGGAGCACCCTGCAAGCCACAGCTGGTCGTGGCTGCGCGTGAGCTGGGGACTCTGAGGATCTCCCCTGCCCTCTGGCTGCCACCCCCATCGCACCCACTAGCCCCAGCGCCTGGGGCACGGTCCGCCGCGCCGCGGGTCCCTCGGGTGCAGGGCCCCTCCGTCCGCCGCACCTGCGCCCCGGGGCTTCCCGGTCTGAAACCGGCCGCGGCCCGGGTGGCTCGCGGGCAGGTGGGCTCGGTGCCTCGGACGCGGCGGGG